TCATTTTCCTATCATCTCCCTTTCCTCCCCATAAGAAACTTTTACGAATTTTATCAATTGCATAAATTATACCTTTTGGGATTACAAAGACTGACATCAAGAACACGGGCAAACTTGACAGCACTGAATTGATGAGTGTAATGCGACCTCCCATTGATAGATGCCTCCCCTTCCAAGTAGTTAATTTCCTTTTAACCGACTCCACCAATGGCTGCCACATAGCTACTCTCCTTTGGCTACCACCAATTGGGATTCCCAAATACTTAACTGGCAGGTCCCCTTCCTTGCAATATAGTCTATAAGCCATTTTACCGCTCCAGCTTTTATCTACTCCCACTCCCATCAGTTCATTTTTTCTGAAATTTATCTTTAGCCCTGAAGCCAACTCAAAAGTTCTCATAATGCATTTGATCACCCGTATATTGTCTTCCGTAGCCTCCCCGAAAAATATGGTGTCATCCGCGAATTGAAGATGTGTGACCATAGTGCCTCCGCTGCCAATTGACACTCCTTTATACCATCCCTTCTCCATTGCTGTTGACACTAGTCCATTCAACCCCTCCGCAACAATCAAGAATAAAAAAGGGGATAACGGGTCACCTTGACGGATGCCTTTGTTAACCGGGAATTGTTTCGTCGGACTGCCATTAATGAGAATGGATACCGAACTCGATTTTAGACACTCTTGTATCCATTTCCTCCAAGTTGCGTTAAATCCCATCCTCAACATCATGTACTCAATGAACTCCCAGCATACCTTATCATAAACTTTCTCAAAGTCGACTTTAAAAACAAAGCTCTTCATCTTCTTCCTTTTGACCTCATCGATAACCTCATTTGCAATCACTACTCCTTCCGCTAGTTGTCTTCCCTCAAGGAAAGCCATCTGCTGTTCACCGATCACCATGGGTAACACCTTTCGCAGCCGGTTTGCTAGTAATTTTGCAATGATTTTGTACATAATTCCGATGAGCGATATGGGTCTGTATTCCTCAATTCCTTGGGGATTTTTTGTCTTCGAAATTAGAACAATGAAAGAAGCATTTGACCCTCTGACCAACCTGCCATGTTCTTGGAATTCCTGTACAAAATTGATCACATCAAGTTTTATGACTTCCCACATCGTCTTAACAAATCTGAAGTTGAATCCATCCGACCCTGGAGATTTGGATGAGTCACAATTCCATATTGCTTCTTTGATTTCCTGTTCCGAGAAGGCCGCTGTGAGCATCTCATTATCAGTCCAAGATATTTGCTTAAAACTGATCCCATCTAGCTTTGGTCTACTCCACTGTTATTCTGCAAACAGATCTTGGAAGTACTTAGCAGTCTCTTGCTTTATTGTCTCCACTTCTGTAAGTTGCTCCCCATTGATCCAGATGCTATTAACTTCATTTCTTCTCCATCTTCCTTTCACACTCCTATGGAAAAAATTTGTGTTGGCGTCACCTTCTTTTAGCCATAGCTTCCTTGATTTTTGTTGCCACATCCTCTCCTTGATTCTTAGATTTTTCCACAGATCAATAAAACACTTTCTCCTATTTTCAATATCAATATTTGACAGTTGGTTCTGCTCACCTTTCTCGTCAATTCTAGCAATTGTATCTTCTGCATCCTTTAGTCGGCTATCCACCTCGATATTCATATTATTGCTCCACTCCTTTAGAGCAAGCTTTGTATGTTTCAACTTCTCCTTGAGTATAAAACCACTCCACCCTTTCACTTCACAACTATTCCACACCTTTGTAATCACCTCCTTGCATCCTGGATTTTCCAACCATGCATCATAAAATTTGAATGGTTTTGGCCCCCAGTCAACTTGCTCATTTTTCAACAAAATTGGGCAGTGGTCCGAAACAGACCTCTTCATTCCCCCATTGTTTCACATTGCTCCATTTTGCCATCCATTCCTCTGATAATAAAAATCTATCCAGTCTACTCATGGATTGACCATTTGAGCTATACCAAGTGTATTTTCTCCCCATTAGAGGCGGGTCAATCAATTCGGAACTATGGATAAAATCATCAAATTCTCTCATTTCAGGGGATGACATGCTGCACCCTGCTCACTCATTAGCCCTTCTCACTGCATTAAAATCCCCTGTTAAGCACCAATTCCCCTTCCTGCTCTTCATTAATTGCTGCAACTCTTCCCACAAGATTCTTTTTTTTGTTAATTGGCATGGGGAGTAAATATTTACTAAGAATACCGGTGTCTCCTCCCTTCCCCACAAGCCATACACCCCGATAAAGTTCTCACCCTCTATAGTCTCCTTCCTCTTCAAAACTCTCGGGTCCCAAACACAGAGCAATCCCCCTGATTTTCCAGCAGATGCCTTTGCAACCCAGTCCAAATCCTCTGTCCCCCACAAACTTCTACAAGTAATTCTATCTACCAGTTCCAACTTAGTCTCCTGTATTGCTAAAAACTGAATTTTTTCTTTCCTAATTAAATCCCTGATTTGTCTTCTCTTCCCTACCCCGCCAAGACCCCTAACATTATATGACAGCATTATCATTATTTTCATCACATACCTCCCTCATATCCTCCTCTTCGCGGTTCACCATATTTGTCTTTGCACGTCTATCTCTGTCCTCCATCTCCTCAATTCTCTGAATCACCTCAATGTCGTCTTCTGCAACTGCTCTGAGCTGCGTCGCTAAATCCCAAATCTCCTTCGCCAACTGAGCTTGCCTATGTGTTTTGAAAATTTTGTTGCAATTCTATATGCTGCTATCCCCTATTGAGCCTCCAGCGACTTTCCCATTTTCATTCGGCATGAAACTTGGAGTTGGCTTTCCTTCCCTTTGTTGTGTGCTCTGCTTCCTCCTTACTTTACTGCTTACCCCCGTTGCGTCCCCTGTATCTGCTTCATTGTACACCGAACTGCACCTTCTAACCCTCCTTCTTTCCTTTTTCGAATTACAGTCTCCTAACTGTTTACCGATCCACTCATCTATGCGTCCCCTCTCTGCTTCAAAGCCCTTCCAGAACAAGTCATCGCCTTCTTCTTTGTTGCGCCCTTCTGATCTTCTTCTATTATTGAAATTGCCCCTTATTTTGTTTGTATTTAATTTCTCCATTGGGCTTTTTGTTTGGTTCCGCCCCTGCATAACTGATTCTTCATCCAATGGGCTTTCCTTTTGTAAATTGGGCTCTATGACTGGTTGCATATTGGGCTTCCTCATGTGATCCGCTACTCTTGTGGCCTCTTCAATACTGTCTGAACCCGACCCCTGTATTTCCTGCCTCTTTGATTCCGCGCCTGATCTTGAATTTTCAATTTCTAAATTCAAATTTTGAATTTTGTCCCTGGTAAATCCTCCCGTTTCTACTTGCTCTCCTCCTTCCCCGCTGACATCTTCTGCTTGTCTTTTGTCTTTCTCTTTCATGCGTACAGGGACGTCATCCTCTTCTACCCATGGATCCCCGGTTTGAGCAACGTCCTTCATCCATCCATTTTCTGAGGCCTTCAACTCCGAATCACTTCCAGTGGACCATGATTCCCGGTCCTCTGAGTCACTGTTAAAAGCTGGCATAAAATCTTCCTTCAAAGAGAAAAAACTATTGGAAAATTCTTCCTCTGAAAACTTCACTTGGTAGACAACTCCATTAATTTTAATTTGTCTTGTGACTGTGATTGTCTCCATGATTGGAGTAGAGATAAGAAACCTTGCAATGTCGAACCTTTTCTTTTTGCTTGTGCTATCATCCAAGCAAATGAACTTTCCCCATGAACAGCTCATGGTTGAAAAGAAATCAGTTTTCCAGGCATTCAAAAGGACCCCTTGACATCTTATCCATACAAATCTCTCGGTTGCAGTCATTTTTGGTGTCCATGGTTGCACCTCCACAAACCATTGCCTCAGCCAATCTGATGCCATTTCAACCAAGTCCTTCACTTCCTCCTTATCTTCACCTGATAGCAGGACCAATTTGCCTCCCATTGCTCGAATTTTACAAGAAAAATATCCTTCCATGTAGAATTTTTCTTGCAAATTACAGACCATCTCTACTGAGTGCGCTGTTCCGACGTAACAACCGTCGAGCCATTCATATTCCTCTGGTTTGGCATTATATTCCATGCCCGCCCATTCTTTCCCCATTCCCCTTTCTTTCCAAACTCTTCTGGTTGCCGAAAGCCAGCGACCCTGTTTGTTATTTCTTCTGGATTTGTCCTGCTCAACTTGCCTTGTGCAGTTTTTATCTTCTATGTCTACTACTCGGTTTCTACTTCTGCCAGCCTCGCTCTGTTTGTTCTGTTCCTCTTCAGTATGGCTTCCTTGTCTTCCTTTCACGACCTCCGCGAAGCTTCTGTTTTGAGTTACTGTCGCCGCTCCTGTACAGCTTTTTTTCACACCTCCTTCCTTCTTCTCCTCATCATACCTTGGTTTATTCACCCAAAGCTTCCACCCTCCTACCCAAATCTGATCTAGCTTACTTTCTAATTCCTTCTTATCTGACACACCCAGAAATCTCACGAAGTCGAATCTGCTCTCATTCTTGCTTTTTCTGTTTGGTGCATAGATGTCGTAGACCCTACCGTACCTGAGAAACGTTCTCCACATCTCATCATAGCTCCAATCATCCGGATAATTTGTGAAGAAATATGACGTAGTTTGTTTATAAAGACCCCAATTGTATGGCTCGTCCTTCTGCATTTTCCGACCAAGGTTCTGCTTAAACTGCATTTTTCCCATTTCCACCTGACCCCTGTTCCTCTGGTAGTTGCTGTGGCGAAATCCATCATGCTCCCAGTTCAGTACCGGCTGTCTTACCCGTGAACGATGTCCGCCGTGATCCCAACTCACTCTCTCACTAACTCTCTCTCTCATCTTTTTTTCTTTTCCCCCAGTGTTACTGTTGGGTAAGTTAAGGAAAATTTTTAAAATTTTTAAAATATTAATTAATTTATGAATAATTTTTTATATCATATTTTGATATAATTTTATGTGTTATTTAAATGATTAAATTTTTTATTTAAGATTCATAATATTAAATGTATTTATCCATTTAATAACATATGTAAATTTTATAAAAAAATAATATAAAAAAATTATTTCTATGTCACTACCTTTATTAAAATAATCAAATTCTTGAGGGTTTTTTGGTAGGCAAATCCCTCTCATAAGTTTCATAAGCTAAATTAATATATATGCTTCCACGAGAACCTCCATTAATTGAGCAGCAGAAATTTGAAAACAAACAATCCCAATTTTGCAAGCATCCTTTCATAATTGTCCAGCAAATTTATCTATACAAATAAATTGAAATCAACATTAAAACTATGAAAATTGCATAATTATGGTTTTGAATTTTTTGTTTTAATTTTTAAATTTTAAACAATTAAAATTAACATTTAAAAACTAAAATTAAAAATTAAAATTATCAATTTATTGAATATAAAATTTTAAAATAAATACTCAAAACCCCAGACTTAATTAACTTATAAAACAATTTAATTTTATTTGAGAGATTGTAAATTTTTTGAAAATTAAAGCTAAAATCTCAAAATTACAATTATACAAAATGGAGGCTTAAAAAACCATATTTATTTTTAAACTTGACCATTAAAAAGTAGTTTAATTTATACATATCAAAGTTCACAACAAATACCAAATACAAATTTATTTAGGAAGTGACATAAATTGCGTTGCCAGTTCTTGAAGTATGTAATTCAAACATGAGACATAAGGCCGCCAAGCTTGCAGATGTTGGTCACACTACTCCATTTCAAAGGACCTTACCGATAATGCCAAGGCCTACGACAAGCCAGATGAATGAGAGGAATTCAATGCCTTCTCCTAGCTGCTTAACGTGATTAATGTGCTGAGTTGAAACTGCTGCATAGGAAAGCATCTCCATCCAGACATCCCTAATCATCTCCCATTTATTATTTGATTGGTTTATAATTGTGGCTAGTTTCAACACGTCTCCTCTTAGGTCTTCAAAAGTTCTCTCCCTGCAGTTCAAGAAAAAAAAAAAACAACGAATTTTAGAAAGAAATAAAACTACTTCAATTCTAATTTTATAATTCTATGAAAATAAGACATTAAAGACATCAAACCTAGGCTCCTTGTCATGAACATCATCTGGAATGGAAAGTAATGCGGAAGCAGCATTCCCAGTATCAGTTGCACGAGGCAAAAGTTCTTTAAGGTTGCCATAAGCATGATCAAGCCAAAAACTCTTACTATGCTCGGACAATAGCAAGGCAGGACACATGGCCAGTAGATACATCATGTAATCTGATAAATGTTTACTAATTTTCATGGCTTCATCATCATGATTATTCTCTTGTAAGTAGCAAACACTTGTGGCAAGATGCCATATTATGATGCTGTGATCAATCTCTAATTCAGTGCTCCATTTTAGTTGATCAAATTGTTGATGTATCCGCAATGCCTCTTCTCCTCTTGTTATCTTGGAGGGGTTAATCCCATTGGCTAAAATCAAGAGGTGAACGTAATTTATTAATTGTTGCCCAAAAGGTGAAACATCCACAAATTTAGTAAGCTTCCATTTGTGCCACATTTCAGCAATTTCATTGCCAATGGTGATCTTCTGTAGAAAGTCATCTGATTGGTTTGCCTTTCTTTTCTTGTAACGCCAACAATATTCCAACAAATCAAATTGACCGATTTTATTTGACCACCTTTTACTTTGATGCAATAAGTAAGGGAAGTACTTTGAGGAGACCTTAAACATTTTGCGTACCAACACATTATGATGAAATTCCGCAACAAGAACTGCCCAATCAGAAGAAAGCATTACCCACGCTGCATAAAGTTCTTGTGCAATAGCTCCACTCAATAAGATGCCAGTTATGGCAATATCAATTCTTGAGCCATGGGATTTTGGCTCATTAATGATGTTGATAAAGAAGAGCACCAGAACTGAGAAAGAGCTAGTGAAACTGGTGAGGCGCAAGAAGCATCCTAACTTGGTGTAAATCAAACTAGCTTTGGTGTAAACAACATCAAACATGAATCCTAGTTGAATAGAAAATATTTCCAAAGGGTTTTCTCCAACTTCTAGAAAATAATATTCGCTTGCAAAGTTGAAAGCCCTTATACTATCTACACCTGTTGTTTCCCTGAGATAAGCTTTGATCCTTGTTCCAACATCGGAAAGATTTTTGGAGGAGAAATAATCATTGACATCAGGTCTCATAATTGTAAATAAGAGATAACCTCCCAAAATGTATGGGTTTCCTTCCTGAAGGTGATGAAGGGCTTGATTCTGATCGGGGTTAGAATGACCTCGAAGATTAAACATATTAGAAATGATTGGTTTTGTTTTCTGTGAGTTATTCAGCTTAAGACACAATATCTTCTCTACATGCTTAATAATTCCAACTAAGATGAGAGGGAGAGTCAAAAAGGAGAGCCAAGAAAAGGTCCACGACAAACAGACGACGTAAATGACAAAAATGACTTTGACAACAAGGATGACAAGGTGCCTAATCCAAAGCTTGTTGTCTTCAAAAGCATAAGCTGTGATGGTGTCGGGGCCACCAAGATGTACCAAGAGTAAAGGAGCCCAATATGCTCTAAAGACATTAGTGGTGGTAGATTCTGCATAGGAGCCAGAAAGTTTGCCCAAAGTAGCAATGGCAATCCAATCGGCACCAAAGTAGGCAAACCATAGAATGGCTTTGAAGAAATGGTTAATTTTGTATTTTCTATGCCTACCTAAGACAGAGAGGATGATTTGTAAGGTGAGACTAAAAAGAACCATTCCCTTCACATCCCATTTCTCCCACACTTCCAGCAGCAATGAAAACGAACTCGCAATAGAGCTTGTCTTCTCACTGTTTATATATATATAATATATAAATTAATTAATTAATTGTATAAAAAAATGTAAGATACTTTAGTATACATTCTGATTTAAGATATTATATAACATATTTATTAAAAAATCATCATTTTTTATCTAAAATTAAAGATAGATAGACTTAAAGACGATGTAAACATACATACAATATGTAAGAACTAATTAAATCAATAGTACTTGCTTTATATTTTAATAGATAAATTAAAATGAATGTTAGAAAATGTGTTAAACCAAATATATATCAATTAATTGAAATAAATAAATAATGATAACGTTAAAATAGTAAAAAAATATTTATCTATATTATAAAATGAAAAAAGACAAATAATTAGTTATTATCTCGAAATTAAAAAATTACAATTATTCTTGAACATGGGGAGTAAATTAATTAAAAATCTGAGCTAGCTACATGAATAAAATATTAACAATAAATGAAAATCAGGTACCACGTCAGAACTAAAAAAGAAAAAGAAAAAAGAGGAAAAATCTTGTCCTTAACATGGATCCAAGAAATTGAAATTATTCTTAACTACATGATTAATTATAAGTTAAAATTAACCAGGGGACTTACTTCTCAACCATCTCTGGTCCCTGGGCCGGGCAACCAACAAGAAAGCTAATTACTTCTTGACAATCTTTAATGGATAAACAGAGTCTAGAGAGGCAAGAAAGAACAGTGTTTTTTTTTTAATTGTTATTTTCATTAGAGTTTGATGAGCTCTAAGGATAGTCAGATCAATTATATATAGTAAATACAAGACTCAAAAAATTGAGGCTCCTTTAAGTTATTCCTAACTTATAGGTTGAGATAATTGTATCACCTTACTAGAATACATTTTATTGTTAATAAAAAGTGTTATTCCTAGCTTACCGCATAAGAGTTAACGCATTATTCCTTGCTTCAAAACATATAGTATACATTACAAAAGATAAAGTCAAAGAAAGTTAAAAATTTCATCACAATGGAATCCAATAAAAAAAGGATATATATTGGCTTGAACTTTAATTGTTTTTAATGTTCAAGATTTGTTGTTTTTTTTTTTTATTTGTATTGAATTCTATTAATTCTAAAACTAATTTGGAATTTTTTTAATTTTTGGATACTGATTAATATACATTTTAATTCAATTATATTATACAATATATTCATTAAAAAAATTATTTTTTATTTAAAATTAAAGATAAACAAACTTAAAGATGCAACTATATTATACAATATATTCATTAAAAAA